TTAATTGTTTCTAGTTTATACTAATTAATTAACACACAACTAATAATATAATAGCGATCCCGGAATAATTTACACCCATATTCCTAGGAAATCATCGCGGGAGCGTTAATGAGCGCCATGCAACATCGCATTCACGTGATTTCCAAATGCCTAAACGCAAACCAGGTGACGCCTGTCTAAGCAATCTTAAATTTTGATACCTTAATATCCCGATCTCTCTTATGTAAATGTCGAGTGCGTAATCAATTTCAGTGGCAAAAAGTAGCTGAATCTAATCGTATTTGATTATTAAGATGATTTATTTGTACGTTGTACATGTTAAGTTAGAGATAGAGCACAAGATGTTCACAAGCTGTAAAATTTAAATAAGTAGAAAGAATTAAACTCATAACATACATCGGCATTTATCAAGGAAAATGAGAAATTTAGTTCTTTTGTGAGAAACGTGGATTCTTTATAAGAAATACAGTTTCTTCGTAAGAAATGATTCAATATATAATTATGATAGATTCAATATAGTTTTTAGTTTCTTTGATTTAGTTTTTTCTTCACAGCTAACAGTAATGGAATATTGGATCGCGTTTTTCCTTTGGATGTTCTAGGATATTACGATCATCATCGACGATCGGGAAGCGCCGCTTAGGGCTCCACTAGACCGAGGGGGGGGGCAACGTAATGCCGTTCGTGCCCAACGACAATGGGCCGATGAAGGAGGAAAAGGAGGCAGTTGCCGCGCCGCGAGGATATTGGCCGGTAATAGAGTCCTCAGGCGAGGGCGATGGTAGAAAGCATCGGCCGTTTAAGCGTTGCTCCTCGCGGATGGCTAATAATATTAACCGCACCACATCGCATTCGCACAATGGCCCTTTGTGGAGGCGCCCGGTCGCTTGCAAGCGCGCGCTCGCGTAAATGCTCGTAACATAAATCGCGAGCGGCGACGCGCTTTATTGTCTTCGCGCGACGCACATTACCATGTACTACATCGTCTCTCCTTCCTTCCTCAGTTTCTTTTTCATCGTTTTCGTAATGGCCGTCGATTTCTTTACGCTAAAGTGGAAATGCCACTTTGGAGCAAAACGATCGCTCTCTTCTTGCAATCGCGAATTTACTTAAAGAAATGGACTCGATTACTCCATCAATATTTTATCGCACATTCTTTTCTAAGAATTCAGGAAATTGATTCTTGGTAGGTATAAATAATTGTCTTAATTTACTTACTGGCTACGTAACGTATTTGATTATAAAAAAGGAGTGTGCTTAATGTATTTAATTACGAAATATTTAATGATATACCCGATATAGTCTCTGCAAAAAGTGATTGGAATTAAAAATTTATGCTTTCCATATACAAAGAATGGTACATACACATGCTATTCAACAAAGATAAGTAACACTTTCAAAACGCTTAAAATTACTTAATTTTCTGATGATCATTAAACTCGGTGAAAAGTTATCGCAGACAAAAAATAAAATAATATGTATTTTAAAGCTTAAAAGCATTTTGTAGATAAAAGACTTTGTATTTATTTATCAAAATATTAAATTCTTTAAAAAAATTTATTATCAAATTGCAGACTGTTGAATATACGTACTTTTAAGAAACATATGGCAATGTGATATCTTTGCTAAAATTTAATATCATAAATAAATTTCTATTAAATGATAGATATGTATTGAATCTATGCAATAAATTCATTGATATTTTATTGTACGTTTAAAATATGCAATATTAAACCATCATTAATTGTTTCTAGTTTATACTAATTAATTAACACACAACTAATAATAAATTAATATCTTTATCATGTTGTCTTTTTAATTTTTCGCAGAATCGCATAATTTAGAATTTAAACGAGCGGTACTGATTGTGTGAAGTTTCATTGAAAACGTTTGGAAAGTTTCATTCAGAAAGGCTTAGAAATTGGTGGTCGCGATATTTTTAACAGCGCCAAATATAAATAACGTTGCAATATAACAGCGGAAGCGATGTTACATAGATGTCTATGATTTATGCGCGGCTCATTGTTCGCCACGCGACGCCGACAGCGGTCGCATTGTCGTACATCGTTATTATTCCACCACCGGTCTCCTTCCCTCTACATCGACGTTAAACGAACAAAAGCTCTCGACTTTCAACGAGATCGTCCCGACTCGTGGCGAGCATATATCGTGTTCGTGTGAATTTACATAAATATCCGTTCTAGAAACGCGATTTATACTTCGGCAAACTTGGAATTAACTTTCGCCCAGTGAAAATTGGATATGTCATATCTTGTCGTTTTAGTTTCCAATTAACAATAAATTTCAGCGATCAGAGTAAAACAGTTGATAATTATGTCTTGATCTAATTATGTCAATATTCTAATTCATTACATTAAATCAATTTAACTGAATTGATTGATTTGTTCTAAATTATTCTGTTCAATTAAAAGGCATGAGGAAATATGTCTTATAAGAATAATATTCTTCAATAAGAAAAGTTCTTAATAATAAATTTTAATGGATAGGCTGTCTCATTTGGCATCATATTCTTTTATTTTTGAAACTGCTTAGTTGATTTTCATGTAACTTGGCATGGGACAATTTGATAATACTTTACTCGAATTTGAGATCAAAAGGAATTCAAAATGTACAGCTAATATTAACAGAATTAAAAAATAATCTGACTAATATAAAACTCAGTTTTACTGAAGAAATCTTCAATTGTGAAATAATATCAAGCTTTCAGCTTCGATTTAGTTTATTATGTATATTTAGAGCTCTCATCGGTGCTATGTAAACAGAACTCATTTTCAAAATTGAATTTCAAACTCTTTGTGTTTAAAATGAATTATAAACTCTGTGACATTAAATCCTTCTTTATTAGAAGTTATTACGGTTAAAAAATTTAACATTTTTAGGATACACTCAAACTCATTATTAACAATATTTCCTAAAACTGAATTTTGTATGTATATGTGTATGTGTGCGCGCGCGTGCGTGTTAATAATTAGATTGTATTTCAATTTTAATATTCTGAGATTAAAATCGAATTTACACAGCGAAAACTTTTAATATCCAAAGGCTTTAGCAAACAAAGTCATTTTTTTATTTTTAGAAAGTTACGTCCTAAAAGGGTTAATTTACTGAAATAATACACTTAAATAGCATAATTAGTACATAAGCTCAAATTAATTACTTTTATACTTACACTATTTTGGCCGTCTCGTATTCTGTCACATTGCTTTCTTCAAATAAAAAAGGAAGGGGAATGGAGCGAGGGGATGCAATGACTAAACGCCAGCATGGTCTGGAGAATAAATTAATATATTTTTAATGGATATATGATAGGTACTGGTTTTTCGCATATCCCGAATCATCGTATGGCAACTCTTAATCACCCCAACCATAAACCGAGCTCATAGATCAACCTTGCTTACAGGGATGGGAGAACAAATCTTTGTACCGTGCCGTACTCACGCTCGCTTAGGGATTCTTTAAAGTTTATATACAACGTCAAACAAATTCCTATCGCAGAGGTCCTCAATAGCATTTTATCTTTGTTTTACCTTCGTTTACTTTAATCTCGTTGTCAAACAAATCGATGTCGTTGATATTCAATTAATCACTGCGTTACTACAAACGAAACGTTGAAAAAAGTTACTCGATTTGATCAGTCTATCTCCCTCTTAGAAATTTAAGTCGCATTAATTAAAGTTGTAAATTATTAGAGAGCGACGGAGGTTGAGTTAATTAGATTAGATTGTCTTTTGTTTCCAATATGGCTGACTGGCTGTCCGAATCGCACGATCAAAGTGTTATCCTAATAAGCAAGAAATGGAATTTTGGAACATTCCAGTAATATTACAACATTACTGCAATGCTGCTGGAATGTTCCAATTTGTTTCTTGCTTGGAATATTGTTTCCTTACTATGATTATTACCAATTAAACCGTACTCTTTAGACAGACATCAGGTCATCCCTTCAATATCGCTTCTCTAATTATCTAGAACTCTAAGCAACGAATGCCTGCTCTGATAATTTTTATCGACTCAATCGCAAGTGTAATAATAAGTTGAGAACCCCCGCCCTATTGCTTTAAATAATATTCACGATCGACGAACACTGGGGTATCGACTACTGAAAAATTAAATAAAACGGACCTCCTTCCCACTATTTACATTAAATACACGTGTATATGCACACACACACAAACACACGCACACGTGAACATATACGCACACAGGCATACACCCATTCTCACTCTCTAGTTCTCCTTCTTTTCATTTTCTCTTTTATTCTCACACATACACACTCTCTCTTTCCCGCTCTCGTTCTTTCTCGCTTTTTTGCCTTACCTCAAAACGGTCAAGCTGCCTAGCTGGCGAGCAAAGTCCGCGTTTATTGCACATTTTTCCATTTGTTCTTTGAAGGGAGACACAATGGACAAAATCAAACGCACTCGATCTATAACGGTCACGCATGCATTCGATATGTCGAACTGATATAAGTCTTGCCGGTCCGTATCGATAACGCGAAATTTAGATCCTGAAATCCTTCTAGATCCAAAGAGAATTATATACGTAATTTATTGCGATCTACACGTATTTGCGATCGAATGTAACCTGTGAATTTTTTCATTCCTTTAATACTCAATTTGTCTATACTTTAATTCCTTCTTCATTCCTTCAATTACCTTCGACTCCAAATTCGTATGCATATCTCTCAGAGATCTTAGGATATCAATAATCTAGACGCGCATTCATCGATGGACGTGAGAATGTCTACAAAAAAAAAAAGTACGCGAGGATTATTCGTAAACCTAGCGATTTCAAAGCGAACCCTGGCAGAAACGGGGACGTTACCATAGCTGGTTCTTCCACGCAATTTCATGACCAGAAGTACCAGTTCCGCTTTGCACGCTTCAGTCTTCATTTATATCCGACATGGTCACTTCACCGTCACTGGTAATCTCGACGAGGAGTTACTCCATTTCTTTGATTGCGTTCTTCTGCTCGTCAACATTTAATCCGACGCACCTCGGCATCTCTCCACGCCTGTTCACTACGTCGTAGAAGGTGACGTGCAAGCCGATGAAACAGGAGACGTCGGCGACGTCGGCGTCGCCGGCCTGCGATCCGATGCTGCACTAGTCCGATTGTTCCCCAACAGACTGTCGATGGAGAACGGATTCAGCCTCTTCCTCTCCTCCCTACCTTTTACCGAGAGATCGATGCTGCCGCTTTGGACTTCCTCCTCGCTGGCAACCTGCCTGATTAGATTTCTAGCGCCATTACCAGTCGGCGGACGACCTGCTCCAATTCCCACCAGCTCGCGCCGTCGCTCCAGCAAGCTTAAGCCCCAGTGGTGAATACCGGGTTGGTGGTTCAGGTGCTCCATCGGCGGATTTTGCGGGGGATTCTTCCGGGGCTCGCTGATCTCATTCGTGTTACTGTTGAGCGCTGGAAAACATTCGCCGTCCACGGAACCGTCGGCCGCCGAGTCCACCCGCTCGCTGCCACTCTCGCTACAGGAGTCTAAACCGCCAACCACGTCAATCTCTTCGTTAGCGTCGTTACCGGACACGGATATGTTATTACTGTCGTTGCTCAGACCCAGTTGACCGAATGAATTGCTGAGAGGACCGCTCCCCGAACTGCGACCCGATGCTGCCTCGCTACGAGACTCCCACTCGGCACGCAATGTCGATAAATCCACTGTTATGCCCTACAGTTAAAGAAAATGAAGGAACTCGTATTACAAAACTACTGTTTAATTATATAACCTGCATAGATACAATCGACATTTAGAGATAAAGCTATTTTTGCAAAATGTGGTTTGGTAGTTTGTGTCAAATACGTATGCACGTACATACGATGATGTTATACATAATCAATAAATTTTTACGTTACAGAAAGTAAAGGTGTATTGTAAAGGCGTTTCTAAAATTATATATAATTACTTTTACTGTAAAATTACGTATTACACATAAATCGATATTATGTAAAGCTACTGTTTCAAAATTTGATTAGTTCATGTTTTTGATTAGTGATTTAATTAGTTCATGCCAAACGAAACATACGGAATTGATAATTTTTTACAAACGTCTCGAAAACGTAAAAATATTTCTAAGATTATGTTATGCGTAATTACTTCCATCTTCAATTAAAAATATCAGAAAGTTAGTAAAAATTATGTCTGAAACATGTTTTGAATTATTTAAAACATGCTTAATCAATGATTTTAACATGTTTTCTAATACCGTTTAAAACATGTAAAGTATTAGAAATATATTTGGAAAAAAAAACTTAATGTTTTGTTCTTAATAAAAACATTGTCTCTTATCAACCCCGAAAAATATATAGAATTACAAAAATATGTGTAAAAATTGCGCAATTATATATAAAAACTGTTACGCTTTTTAAATAAAAACTTATTTTCTGTATAATTGTATTTTCTAAATGTATGTCTATATTAGACGAAAAATTACAATAATAACAGCATATTTTATAATTTTTATTTTTATGTAAAAATGTAAAAGTTTTTATAATATTACGTAGAAGTCATATATGCGTCAAAATAAAAAAATTATAAAAAAGTATTAAAGATAACTACAAGATATCCATAGTTCTACAAGTCATTTTATCTATCATATATATACCTATGTAGATATTGTGTAAATTCAAAATGACTAGCAATACGACATCTGTCGCTTTTTAACCACCTTTCATTGATTATATTCTTTCACTAAAAAATATTTATAAAAATATTTAATTATCTTTTAATTTCTCATCTTTTACTTGTGTTTCTTTGAATACGAGCCAAAAGTGAATTTTTTTCATTTTTGTGCGATTTTCTTATGAAGTCGACACATTCAGATTTGTCATGCGTATTTTAAATCTGTAAAAGTATTTCCTAATCTGTAAATCCAGTTCGAAAAATTTTGTTGTACTGTAATTTGTAGTAATTGTCGTCGCTCCAGCATCTCCTTAAAAAGTTTCGGCAACCATGAAGTAAAATTATTTTGATAGATATAAGTAAAGTAAAAAATTTTTTATTTCTTAAAAATATTAATGCGTTCTTAAGAAGATATTAATTCTTTTTTAGAAGAGAAACATTTTTGACTATATAATAACATAAGTACTTTGAAATTTTTTAATTGCGGAGGGATATTTAAGTTTGTGGCTTACTTTAGCAGCGAGCTTCCGCTGCTGTCTCTCGAGAGCTTTCAGCAACTTCTTCTGTCGCCTTTCACGCTCTTTCCGTCTCAGTTCCTCGGGTGGAATAGGTTCGCCACTGCAGCTTTGCGGATGAGCATTATGCGCCGGCCTTCCAGGGCCCTTCTTCGTATGTTCCTTCTTTCGCCACTTTGCTCTTCGATTTTGAAACCACACCTGCAATGGCAATGGTCGACTATAGAGTAAAAAAATCAAATAAAGAAAGCCAAATACTTTCGAGACTAGATCTTGGGATCTAATAATATTTACGTGTAAATATAAAATACATCTTTCAGTTATTTAAACTGCGCACCGATTACTATCAGAGAAATTTGAAATTTAAAATGCAATCATAAACTAAAACTGAAATAATAATTAAATAGATCATTAATTTAAAATTTTATTAGGGTACTTATTTAGTATTAGTATAATAATTATTAATATTCTAAAATACTGTAAAGAATTTATGCAAAATATTACTATCTTAACTAAGATTTAAATTTAAAACTACCCGTGAAAAAATGATATATAGTATTTAATTCATATTTATATGTCAATAACTGTTTATTATAAATTAATTAATATCTTTATAAGAAAAATGGAATTAGGGCGAGCTTTCTCAAATCTCGTCAACGTTGATCAATTTTGACTACGATTCCATTCATTGTCTATCTGTTTCTACAGAAAGAAGATTAAATCGGCCACAAGTTTGCGCCAATTGACGCCGATGAAAGCTAAGCGTTGTTCCCCGCAGGTCTTGAATTGCAATGGGCGTTCGCGGCGTCGCGTAAATTTGCGGATTCTCCCCCGGATCTTCCCTTCCATCGCCTTCCACGCGAAATTTCTCTGCGAGCTGCTTAAATCACAGCACCGCCTTCACCAAGGCACTATCAGAAGCGACACGAAGGGCGGATGCATTAAGTTCGAAATTACAGGAAGGCTCCTGTCTCAGAACGAAGGACCAACGACCCTCTCGGGTGTCCTGATTCATTGAGGACGACAACCCTTTGCTCGCGTGAACGCTCGTGGCATGAACGACGATTTAGGGCTAGCGTGAGCCACGACGCGACCGAAGGGTAGCGAGGGGCTCACTCTCTCCCGGGGCGGGAGGGAGGCGGCGAGGGGGTGGCTGTGAGGGGAGAGATGAAGACATTAGTTGTACCGCCCGGCCGACGAGCGGCGCTGAACTCACGCGAGCCGAAGATCAATAGATCCCCTCGGCTCCCTGAAACACCTTTCTCGCGTCACGTAACTTTACGAAACTTTCTTCGACTCCGGGATACTTTACGAATCCCCGAACGAGCCCAAAGCGCTCGTTTGTCTCTACTCCCCGACGCTATCCGCGAGTCTTCGTTATTCGCGATTAAACTTCAGGCGATCGTAATTAATTCGATTACTTCGATAGGTCTATTTAGAATCCATCGCACGCGCTTACGCTATTTAATTCTCTAGCTTCACAATTTTCAGCACGAGCTCTGCTGTGTTTAACCTTAGAAAAATAAATATACTTAGAAATCTGACCTACGTTTGTATTTGATATATAATATTAAAGTATAATGTTTATATTATTCAAATTATTTTTATAAATTTTGTTTTGTATTTACTTGTTTTGGCAAGATGTGTGATATATATATATATATATATATATATATATTCTAAACAAAAATTAACATTTTTTTAAATACCTCTATCAACGTAAAGAACTTTGGCGGCACATACTAATCGACATAGCTCAACCGCATGATTCTTATAGGGTGAAATTTCTACTACAGCTAATAAAGTAATTTTCAATCCGATAATATCTGAGTGCCGTTGCATTTTATGTCGATAACTGTCACCTGGCAGCCCTAATATTCATTACTTATTCATTATTTAATATCATAATATGCAGAAAAACGGTAATCCATGATACCATCGAGTAATCAAAGAAATCTTTGATAAAATCTCTTTATTAAACCATCGTAATTTTACTTCCAATTAAAAGAGTAAAATCTAATATGAAAGAATAGATTCATTTTTAAAACAACCAAAAGCAGAAAACGTTTCGAAAACTTCAATGTTGAAAATTCCAAAATTGCAGGAATAGAAATGGCATTCAATACATTTCCCGCCGATTAAAAAGATCGTTCTCGAACTCATCAAAAAACATCGCTACCGTGGCTTCAAAATCTTAACCGCAATCTTAACTCACGAGGCGTTCTGTCTGCCTCAGTTCAGAATCAGGCACAGCTGTAACACATTACATTAACGCGATACGTGAGAAATACGAGTCGGGCATTAGCGCGGCTATTCGTCAGGAATTATCGACGACTGATAGCGATTTAACAAGCTATTTCTATCCGATAAAAAACTCATGTTCTGACAAACTAAATAACATAGTTTTTCTTTTAAGCAGCGGCATGTGAGCTTCGCCGAAGAGATACAACTTACATTGTAAGCACTGACAACTGACTTAACATGCATAAAGCGTATCTTTGTGGCAGCAAAAACTCGAAGAAATGACGTCGCCGCTGATAACCATAATCGTTCATATGGGGTTTGTCGAGAAAGATAAATGCATTCTAATGTAATTATGTTTCCGTCAATTAATAAATGATGCTTTCCGCGCTACAACGATAAGAGCGCTGTCATTTGACCGATTAAATTGTTTCTTACTGTAATTAACCCTTCGCCTTGTAGTTTTTTTTTTATCGCAATGGGAAGCACTTAATCGGTCGGTATTTTACACAAAGTGAATTAGAAAAATGTAAGAAGTAAATGTGAAGCATATAAAAAGTAAATGTGAGCAGAATAATTGTATCACACTGTTTTTCCAATATTCTTTAATCAATTACATTTATCTTTCTCTCTATTAAAAAAAAAATAACGATTTTGTAGACCAAGCTTTGCTGCTAATCGCAAACAATAATAACCTGCAAACAATAGATCATAAATGTATAAAATGGTAGCATAACTGCGCGCGCGTTATAGTTATAATGAATATCATGGGTATATCCATTTGAGAGGAGTTCTTATTATCAATTCTGTTATTACATAAACAGCATTTTTCACGTTAATGAAATTCACGGGGTGAATTGATCCTGCAAACATTTTAAGCTATAACTTAAGCTGTGTTTGTTCACATTTTTATAGGGTATATTTTGTAGGGTAGGTGGTCCACCAGTGAACCAGTAGTTCATATTATGAACTATTGCGATATTTCGTAAATGCAACCAAATTACACTGTTATTACGCAGCGACTCGCTTGATTCGTATTTGAACCCCTTCTCGGCTCCTCAATCGGCCGGCAGATAGCGCCAAGAATGGCCATATGGTTCAGGTTTAAGGAATTTTGGATTGCAAAATAAATTTGTTTGGAAGTTTTATGCATTTTTTGATGTTTTTATTGTTATACTTATTATACTATTTTTTTCTTTATGCAATAGTTTTATGTAAACATTTAGTTTTAATATTTTGTAAGCAACTTTTTCTGTTGTATCATTTTACCGCATTATTTCGGAGATTATAGTAAGAAAGATTATGTGGTCTATAATGAATCATTTTGATGCAGTGAACCATTGTTTTTTACTATATATGTATTATAAGTTTGATTAAACTGTAACGAACTAATTACTACAATAAATAATTATCTGAGAAAATATCTGAAATACGTTAAAAACAATAATTTTTATTTTGAAAATAATAAATTTATTGTTAAAATAATAAAAACAACATAAGTTGTGTGTGTGTGGCTTTTAATATTTATTATTCTAATTCTTATCATCTTATAATTATCTCTTTTCTAAATAAACATTTTGAAATATAGTAAAACTAAAGTATCCTAACAACGCAGTATAAAACATGTGGTTCATTGTGTACATACCCTTTGTACACAATAAACCACTTCCTCGTTTTTTAAATAATCGAAATTGTAACTAAACTTAAGAAATAACTTAAGAGTTATTGTTTACAGTATGTAGTTAACTAAATTCATAAACTCTATGCAAAAACCCAGACCTTCAACTCAATAATTGAGACAAATACGAGTTTTGAAATTTACATGGTTTATTATTGAACTTACTCTATATTATTATATATTGATCATTTATGAAGTTGCTCTATGCAGTGTATAGGATACACATTCATATTCCTATAAAGGTAGAAGCTCACTGTTCTTTCGTATAGAGATAACGTAACGGCGATAAACACACAAAAGTTAAATTAAAAAGAGAAGAATGATAAATAAGGTAAAAAGGATCTTTAGAGAAATCCAATTTAATACTGGTTAATTTAACATTGGAAATATTACTTAGTTTGACTACTAGAAGTACTGAACAACAATGTATTTTTCAGAATAAATATAATTACCTTTCAGTATTAAATGTCTATAAAAGAGAGTAAAAAATAAAGTTGTAATTTTTATGATCAAAGATAAAAATTTTGGAGGAAGTTTGAACCCTTCAGACTCTCCCTCTGGGTACATCCAGGGCAGACACGATTGGTTCGACGTTTTACAAGCTCTCTGTTTCATCGGCCGTGGATCGAGCCGCGCGATCCCGTCGTGGCTCGTCGTCGGATGCAAATAGCGCCTTGATAATAGCGATTGTTGTGCTTACGAGCTCTTTCACGATAAATCAAAACGCATGGTGTCCCCGATGTTATTTACGACCGGTCTGCGACAAGCGCATACGAATTTCGCGCGCGTAATAAACGCGAAACGGGGACCACGACGCGATAACGCGAGATCGTTCGTAACGCGTCGTGAAATATTGATCCCGGAGTGCTTCTCGGATCTCTCCTTCGATCATGGACGAGGGACCGGATCAGATTTTACTGGAACGGCAGGATAACGGAGACGATAACCCGGCCGAGCGGTGACACTATGTGACATGATGTCACACAGCCAGTGCGTCCTTTCGATGGTGCTTCCCCACGACAGGGAATAACTCTCAGATTAGATAACATCGATCACTGTGTACGATAACCCCCGTGAACGTATGTCCTACTGCGGACGCATCTCCTCCAGAATATCGCAACAACTAGATAAACGCGATGGACAATCGATCAAGGTTTATCGATCCTCTGCACTCGAATCTATGAACACTTGCAAATATCATCGAGAAAACTAATAATAATAATAATGTAGAAAAATTAAGTCATCAGGACGTTTTATTTGATATTTCAAGAGAATATAATTTAATGCCTTTGTTTACCTCTTTGTTTTTTAATATAATTTAATATTTTGGAAAAAATCTACTAGAGATATGTACATACATATTTATTCAAATTATGCTATAAATGTAGAGTAAATTTCACTTCACGTCCGCGAATCACGATCATCGGAAAGATAGTTTTAATTATTATCTCGCATCTCAAGAAAGTCTCTTGATTCAAACTCATTATTCAACTTACACTCGCAATTATCTCGCAAACTCAGAAAGAACTCTCGTACTCGTATACTTAATTCGATTCAGTACTCTGCGTAAACTCAGGAAGAACTCTTATTCTTTTAGCTCCATACTGTATCCACGACTCTTTTCGAACTCTCCCATTATTCGCGTTCTCCGAAAATCGCTGTCCCTTCAATAACGACTATACGATGTATCTCGATAGCAACCGATTGTCGACCAATAATTTGCAAGTATATTCCTCGACTTTTTCTGTTCTCCTACAATAATAATAATTTTATGGAATGTATTACACACACACAACTTAATAAGATTTTATGCAGTTGAAAAATTTGTGTCAAGTTTAATTCACTTGTTCTAGACGGTTCACTCAAATTATTATACTTTTGACACAAGATGAATATGTTGGAAAATAACACAAATATTAAATATAAAAATATTAACACAAAATATGTAACTGATACTAACATAATTTGTAAGCAAATTGTAAAAGCATATTCTTTTGTTAAATAAATATTTATAATACGTTAAGAAGATGCAAGAACTGAACTTGATCAATGTCGATAATGCAGACTTTTTAACTCTAATTAAACTTAATTTCTTACATTATCGTTTTGTCCTCACTTAAACGTCTGTTCCTATCTAATATATACATCGCCATCTCTTGCAAAAACAAATATCCTACTAAAGATACAATTACAGTTCTGTTTATCATTATAAATCTTTACGAAGTATACATATTCACATGAATTACGTGCAAACTAATAAATTATTTTCTAAGATTTTCAACCTTAGTTTTACAAACTCAATATCGTTTGTTCAAATAATTCGAGGTTTGTTGAATACTTACGCTACTCATACAAACTGTAAAACTTTTATATCAAGCAAACTTATACATGGTCTTTAATGGTAACAGCAGTAGTACATTCCAAAACTTAACTACAGTATCCAAAACTTTATAGATAACGTTACATAAACTATAGAATTCTTGAAATAAACTATAACATAGTCGAATGTAAGAAGAATAATCAACTGTGAGATTAGTTAATTTCTTACTCTTGCAGCCTCATACTACTACTGCTACTACCATTGTAAACCATGCAGGTGACAGGTGACATACAGAATCACCTGTCATAACGAGTTACTTCCATTCCCAGTTATTTTGATACTAAAGAATGTTGAATATCAATTTAATACAAAATCGGTGAACTATGATTAAAAATAGGATATCGTAAAATAATTTTTTTTTGCAAATTTTGTCTATGTCAATGTTTTACTGACAACATTTTTAATTTTTCATACATTATTGTTGGATTCCTGCATCGTTTTTTTTATGTGTTTATTTTCGATCGCATTGCTATTCATTCAGTCTAAGGATTATATAAGCTTTATTCTTTACCTACCCCAAAGTGGTGTATGTACACTGGTGCAGTAAGTTAAAGTGAGACTGGTATAGTTTGTTTCTCTGTCTCTAACTTATTGTCCAGAACTAGTTCAAACGCACTATTCAAACATGGATTTAAAAGAGGCGTTAATTATTACGTTTAATGAATTTATTCTGATTTTAGCATGATTGTTTATAGTAGATTTTATTTAGTGATACAACTATTACAAATTCTAATCAGAAATTAAATAAGAGAAGACATAACAAAAGAATATATGAAAAGTCCAAGATTTATGAACAATGAGATAAAATATACACATAATAGAGGGAAGCAGTAGAACAAAAGGAAAAAGAGTAAAGAGGAACTTTTACGTTCTTACATATATTTTTTGCTACTTTTGGTTGAGATGCACACATTAGAACATTAATCTCAATTCTTGAATCGCACGCTTCGAATTTGGCTCGACTCGCGGCACATTCACGCGGATTTATTCAGTATATGGCGGCTATCAAAGATCGACGAGGCGATAGACACGAATTTAAAGTGACTTCGGGATCAGATTTTCTAGGGTCGTCAGACAGCCGGGGTTTGATTCTAGCTTCGGACCTTTGGCCCATCAGCTCTGTCTCGAGGGGGTAGTTAGTCCATCTGGTCCGTTACCGTCGGGGATCTACTCGAGGGTGCAAAATCAACGCGGATTTATCCGTTCAGCGATCGTCTATTTAAATAACATCGGCGTCGATAGAACGTCATTGTTTCTTAATAATATTTTCATAAGGGTAAACTTACCAACGCCCATTTCAGAAGATTTACAATTCCTGGCAGAGAATTCGAGATAATACTCTATTTATAAATTTATGTGTTATGTAATACAGAAAATAGAAGAATCAGAATATACATAAATTAAATATACATGTCGTATTATTTCACAAAAGTGGCACAACTAAAAAAAAAATAAATTTTTCAGAAAAAGGAAAAAATGTATTTGCAATTTGATTTATTGACTAATTAAATAATATCGACAAAAGAAGTATTTTTAATATTTAATGTGAGCAAATGTGTCTTTTTCATTTTGTCATTTTCTCATAATCTTTAAAAAAACTGTTTTCTTTAATTGCAACAATTTTAACTATTTTTTAAACCGTCTTTTTATCAGCCCCGTTCTCTCTCTCTCTCTCTCTCTCTCTCTCTCTCTCTCTCTCTCTCTCTCTCTTTCTGCTTAATTACGACGATTTTTTTAAACCATGTATAATTTTTAATATTTTTTTATGTTAATTTACTTGATGATTGATAGTATAATATTTACCTATAGCATTCATGATAATAATACGAAACTCATGTTTTTCAAATTATCTTATTTTTGAGTTTAGAGAGTGATATGTAAAAAGTACGCAATATGTGTGTGTGTGTGAAACAAACAGAATGTTATTCAGAAATATAACGCATATTATCCAAAATCGCCTTTATAATTTAACGTAAAGAAGCACTTTGATTATATAAATGTGCAACACTAGCAAGTTAACAAGTTCAACACAAACGATTAATTTTGCACGAAAATAAAATCTTGATATAACACAGGACATCGAACACAGAAGTGGATTACGTAAAAGAAGATTTTATGACGGATCTTTTATAAGAATCTATAATATAATTGCAATATTGCGTAGACATATGTCATTATGGCTCTGCGAAATGCCATTGAATCTTTTCGATGTGATCGGCCTTCTTCCGGTACTCGGACAGTTTACGCCTGCGTTCGTCGAATGCAGTCCAGCCGAATCCTTCGACAGGACCGCGAAGGGTGAACTCCCAATTTCACGGCCGGTCGGACATACGGTTACCCTTAGGTCTTTCAAGCGGATGTTTATATTTATCCGCTTAGACACGCGTGTTAGGCCCCGCAAATAGCGCATACATCCGTTCCCTTTTTTGACACCGATGCACCTCTTTATTTTACATATCTCCTCAATCTTCCACCTTTCTTATCTCTGGTACATTCAAATTATATTTTGCAAATAATTCGATGTTATTTTGCATATCATGCTCATCGGTTTCTTTTGTTGCGTATGTTAATCAAGAATCACGCAATATTTGTATCTACACCTAATATATCAGTATATATATGTATATATATATATATATAATAGAAAAATATTAATAGAAAAACAAATTAAAGGTAAAGATTCATTCTATCAAAAGTTGTAAATCGCATTTGTGCCCAATTTTTAATTCGCGCCGTGGAATTTCACAAATTTTGTAAAAATTTTTGAGATCTGATCTTCATTTATGTTTGTGTTACTTTATAAAATATCAGTAAAACTATTTTTTAAAGTATCAATCTAAAAAGTAGAGATTTTTAACTGTAAAATGCTTTTTAAACATTTCGATGTAATGATTTTTCACAAAGTTATTCTATCTTGAAAGCCTATTTTTGCAGGGTGAAACAGGTGAGCCTTTAATTTTGTTGAGTAGTATGTGTACATATTGTGCGTATGTGTATGTGTGTGTACACAACTACACATAGATGCAGTATGCAGTATATTAAATACTTTTGTAACTTAGTTAGAAATTTTGTTAAAGCTTAATCTACCTAAGTTAGTTACGTTCACACTCCATTTAGTTAGAAGTAGATCAATTGAATTGAATAATAATGTACTTTATTCAAATATTATAGAGTTACGTCAATATCTAGAACATTGAGACGTAGTGGTTAATCAAAATGCCTAAGAGCTCTAATTAACTTATATATATATATATATATATATATATATACTTTTATTTATTTATGAATCAAAGGCTCCTAATATCATCCTTCTTATTTTGATTTCCTTTATATACGATTGAAGAAGCGGCGATTTCCGTAATGAAATAAGTAAGAATGAAAGAAGAAACTTACTGCCACGCGGCTCTCTTTTAGTTCAAGTCTCACAGCCAGTGCTTCTCGCATAAAGACATCAGGATAATGACTCGACAAGAAGGCCCGCTCCAATTCTTCTAACTGCCAACTGTTGAAGTTAGTCCTGCTTCTTCGCCTCTTGTTGCCGCCCTCATCCGATTCTCCGTCGCAACCTGAAAAAAAGAGAACATGTATTCAGAATGAGATAAACCAACTCGAAAAACATAAAAAAATTATATATTTTTATATAATGTAATTCCTATATAAGTTCAGATGTTTATACGGAGTGAAATAATTATATTATTATGTAATTATGTAATTATGTTACTTGATATAAAAATAATGCAATTTTAAATCATAGGTTCTTAAATGTATAAATAAAAGGTGATAGCGCGCGTTATTAATTACACACACAAGCACACATATTATAAATATTAAATTTTTTTAAAGAAATATACTTCAACAATTTGTTTCCGAATTATGTCAAAGTATTATATTATTTTTTATATAAATTTTTATATAACGTTTGTGTTAATTTCTAATACATTTATTTTATGTTAAAAAAATAAAAAATTAAGTAAACCACACATTTTGGATGTATGAAATATGTTAAATTGAACACAAATTTTCCAATTGTAAAATCTTCAAATTCAAATTGAAATCTCTTTTGAGATTATAAAGGTCAGAAACAAAAGGATTTAACTCAAAAGAATTTTAATCATAAATTTAAATACCTCGATAATTTTTAATATTAAAGATAACGATGTTAAAGTTTTAAGAATCATCATAAAAAACTCTGATGTGTGTGTATGTGCGTGCGTGTGTGTGCTTACGAATTCTAAAAAAAACATAGATTTTGCAAGGATTTAAGTAACAGTAATTCCAGGTAGTATAAAATATTAAAAGATGTCTAAAAGATGACTAAAATTTATGTACTGTAAGTAGTCTATTCAGTAAAACTAAAAGATATCTTATAGATATCTTTTCATCATCGTATCTTCGGCAAAGCAAAAAATCAATTGAAAAATATCTTTTTCTCTCATCGAAAAGACAATATAAAAAAATAATTATACGTATTAACAAGCTATATACTATATGACTGGATATCTATGTATATACAGAGTGTTCGGAATTTAAATGTCAAAATTCCGGGAGCGTGTAGAGAATCGATAAACTATAAGAAAAAAGGTCTTGTAGAGATATGTTCGTTTTTTCTTCATTTTGGAAAAAAATCACAAAAAAAGATAAAACGTAGTTGCTTCGTTCTTGCACTACCTTTAGTGATATCATCGCTAAAACACGAAATATAATAATTCCGTCTTCAGATAAAAACTTTTTTTATTTATTTACATTTCTGCTTTTTTTCTTATAAATTCGTCAGCTACTCATCAGAAGCTATCAAGTAAATTACTCACAATATACCGCGTACATATTCTAACGTTAAATATGCTGACACGGTTTTCGTGTATGGTTTTTGCGACGGTAATGCTATGGAGGCGGTGCGAAAGTATGTGTACGCCGATTTCCAAACAGAAGAGTGCCGGATCGACGAGTCATTACAATAGCTTTTAATAGGCTGCGAGAGGCTCATTTTCAATTCATCAAGATCTGTTTAGGACAAACATGCAAGTAGAAAATCGTGTTTTTCTGCGCTACTTTGATAACAATTCTGAGATCAGCGTCCGGAGAACATCAGCTGCGTTATGATTACCATGGCATAGAATCTTCTAAACTTTAAGAGACGGTAACCGCCATATTTAAAAAATGCAGAATTTATTACCTCACGATTTTAAGAGGTTGAATTTTAGCAATTGGTTTGTTGAGCAATCTAACAATGATAATACATTTCTACAAAAATAATCTGGACAGACAAAGCTACATTTATAAAAAGGAGAAACTATTAATCAAAGAAATTATCATGTATGGGCTTATGAAAATCCCAGGGCTGTTAAGGAAAATAGGTTTGACTCGGAATTTAGAACGAAGTGGGACCATTTTCTTTTATCTGACAGATTAAATGCAGCCCAGATTTTTTTGGAAACTGACTTCTTTGATTATTTAGAAGACATCCACCTATAACAACGAATTGAAATATGATTTCAACTCAATGAGTGTCCAGCTCAAAATAACAAAACTATTCGACCTTGGTTAGACAGACATTATCCACGATGATGAATTGGACGTGAAGGAGTAGTACCTTAGCCACCCCGATCTGACACCACTGGACCTTTTTATATAGAGGATCCTGAAGCAGAGAGTTTATTCGTCGTCAATTAATTCGAAAGAACAATTGAGAATCGAGACAACAGTGAACCAAATATCGCCAGATCAGTGTTTAACTGCATCACGAACTACATCACTAGATACAATGCTTGCATTACAATAAGGGGCCAATATTTTTGAACAATATCTACAAACAAGTGAATAAATACAATGTAAATAAGTAATAATAAAATACAAAATTAAAACTACGTTTTGTCTTTTTTGCGATTTTCTCTAAAATAAAGCAAAAACGAGCATATCTACACACGATTTTTTTTTCTGAATTTATCGATTCCCTACACGCTCTCGAAGTTTTAACATTTAAATTTCAAACATCCTGTATATATATATGTGTGTGTGTGTGTGTGTGTGTGTGTGTGTGTGTGTGTGTGTGTGTGTGTGTAAATTTATATATGAGCTATTCACATGAAGCGGATCAATCATCGCTCAGAAATTTTTTAAATTTTGCACATAGATAGTGCTCTTGGAGAGAAAATTTTGTGCCAAAGGATTTCTTTTTTATTGCAAAATTAATCGAGATATACATAATTAAAAATTAAATTACTTTATTCTGCAAAGATTCATATCTCTGTTACTAATAATGCTAGCGCTGACTTCGTTTTTTTTTAATTCACGCTTAAAATGTTCAAGTTTACAGGAAATATATTAATATTCCGAAAAGATTTCATTGTTTATTTAATTTTTGTAAACTTTCTGACAAACTTTTTAACAATTGAGAATAGAGTTGAAAAAATCTGGAAAAATATTTTTTACATACTTTCAATTTTCCTACATCTTAGAAAAAAAAGTTGAATAACGTGTTTTACCTCGTTTTCGAGAAAAAAATTTTTCAGTTCTAGATACGGGGAAAAATCTTTCGACTCTCAACATGCGCGCGCACGCGCGGTTCTAACAAAACAGCCAAACTTACAAAACATCCCCCTCATACTGCACCGCGCGTGCCTTAATGAAAGACTTTTTGAAAAAGAGTTGCCATTTTGCTATAAATTCATTCATAAATTTATTCATAATTTTATTCATATTGCCATTCATTTGTTGTAAATGGGATATATAATAGTACATACAGTTGTTCATTTAATTTTGTTTGTAAAAATGATTTCACAAATCTGATATTATTAGAAGTTGTATGTACTAAAATATATCGTGATAAAAAGAAATCTTGAAGATGATTAAAATATGTCCAAAATTAATCTTCTATCATTATATGAACAAGGCTGTATGATTACTAGCAGCAAAATTTATCGTCTATTAATCATCTTCTTGTCGATTATTTTCTCACACTATAAATTATTTATCTTTTATAAAAATCTTTATGAAAACATAGTTATTCTTTTAGATAACTTGATGCTCTGTCTCTAAAATTTTAGTCACCCAAGAATTTTCAGCTCCATGGATCAACATCAAAATTTTCGGATTTCAAGCATTCAAATCACTCTCCAAAGTGTCTTGAAGAATTAAGGAAGTTTCACGCTGAGAAACTCCTGAAGAGCGAAAATGTAATGACACACGAGAAAGAGCTTGAACGAACAGAGGTCCCCGGGAGATTAGGGATCTAAAGGTCCGTGCGCTGTGCGCCTAGGAACACAGAAGAGCCGAGAGTAAACGATAACGGCGACATAGGCCGAACACCCGCAATTACTTAATCGGCGCGCGCTATTGTTGCTGCGCGGCGGGATCGCGTAAGTGCATGTCTCGCAGCTAAAACAAATGCAGTAGTTACGCTAACCGCCGAGCAATAATGCGGCCCGTAGTTGTAACGACGGACGCGCGCGTTCCGATAATGAAGTTAACCATGTAGTAAAGTGTGCACTCCTCTTCAATCTTCTCCTCCGATCGAGCAGCTGCACCGGCGCGGTCGCGGCACTCGCTTTCCGTGCTCGCCACTTTGCCGATGTAAATCGATGAATTCGCGCGCACGCACACTCCGCAGGACCGTACCGGGTCCTTTTGTTCGTGGTGGTGTCAAGCCGAGCGTGACGCGAGTAACAGCGAGAGATTATAGCGGCAATCATCATTGTTAGACATAATCTAACAACGTAACAATTCTTAACGCGAGTTTTGTACCTACGTAATTCCAGAGTTGTGTTCTCGGCGAGCAAACATGGCTGAAGTAGATTTTACAGATAAAAGGAAGGAATTTTTTGAGAGGGTCGATCTTGCAGATTTAATAATACTTAGAGTCTAATCTCTCAATCATGTTAATGATTTGCTGTATAAAAATCTGCAAATTTCATTCGACACTCACTCTTAATGCTACAACCGAGTGTCACGAGCTGTCTCGACTTGATAGCATGAGAAACTCAATTTATTTTATATACATCCATATAAGAACAGAAAGGCTTTGTTATCGCTTGTTATTGTTAATTATTGTAAGAAACCTATGATCATGCGAGTAATAATTTACTTTTTTCTCAAAGGTTGGAGTTTGGCGAACGACCGGCAGATCGCTGCATCCGGGCAGCCAGCAGAACGTTATAATTTGCGACAGCCTATCTCGCGCGTGATCGATATCGATATCGAATTAAGTACTGTATACTTTCGACGGGAATTATTATGTTCGTGCGACACGAAAATGGTGGACGACGTCGATATGGCGGACGATCGCGAATTTATCTTAATTTCGCGCCATTTGTAACCGCGGCGCAAGGTAAACATCTCGCCGGGCGTCGAGTGAATTGAGTTCTTACAAAGTGATCTTAAACACGTAACCTAATACGGAAAAAAAGAAACAAGTTACTCAAACATAAAAATATATGCGAAGAGTTGAAAAAAAATTAATTAAAAAGATATCAAATATATAATTAAGGTCGTAAGATGATAAAAAGAAAAACAATATAATAAAATATAAGAAAAAAAAAAAAACTGCATGTAACGTAAAGCAGTAAAATGT